CACGACATTATTGGTTACTGCATTACCACAATCCCTAGGTCATGTGATGCCCATGATCATCATTACCTCAATTTTTTCTCATTTTTTGCCGGTGAAAGTTACAGGAGTGCATATGCAGGGCTTTTCCTGACCAAAAATTAAGCATGGGTAACACTGAGCCGTCATCCCAGCTCCTTTGGCTTTCCATTCACTGGCTCATTCTGTTGTTTTTACTCAGTCTGAGTTTACACGTGTCCTGTGACACAGTTTGTGTCTGTGTGAGTGCGTGTGTCCGGCTGTCTGCATGTCACAAGAGAGAGAGCAATAGTGAGTGGAGTGCACGGACCTATGACGACAGATTTTACTCATTTAAGAACTGTGTCAGTAAACAGCATTGATATGTTGCTTTATCGTCGCGGTAAGAAACATTCCATACCGTCACAGCCCTGACTGTCGCTCTTTTGATAGGCTTTTGATTGCAAACGTTAGTATCTTGTTTATGCATCCATCTGAAGCTGAAAACAGATCTTACTTTATCAGTCATCACAGGGATCACAGAAGATAAATTGACCTCTGTTCTTTCTGCTTGTGTTCCAGATCGGGCTGTGTGTTCTGGTCATGATGGCCATCATCTGCACTCAGCTGTGGTCGACCGTGTCCTGGTTCGTGCAGTTCAATCGACTCTTTGCTGTCTGCTTCGCTGTCAGTCTTGTCTGGAACTGGTTTTATCTGTATAAGGTGAGGAGCTCCTTCAGTTCCATTGCTCTTGCTGTCATTCTTTTTTTGTTTTAGAAGACTATTCAAATCTTTTCATGCCGTTACATTGTTTTTGTCCAGATCGCCTTTGCTGAGCACCAAAACAACATGGCGAAGATGGACAGTGTATATCAAAAATGCACCGGCGTGAAGAAAATTGACTGGAGCGACAGTTTAAAAGGTAGGTTGATAACAAGAGGAACATGTTGTGTCTTTGTGGTTTTCTGTAAACAATTTCAGCTTTGTGAAAATGCAAATTTTTCTTTTGTGTTTAATGTTTAAAAGAATAATATCAATGACTATTTTTATAATTCAAAAAATGATTGCGATTTGGCTGAGCTATAATGCAGATTGACCAATCTATCTTTGGCTGCGTGGCATTGTGGGTAATGTAGGCACCAAGATTTGACAATAAGGAAGAATGTTAGGAATAAAATATATTAATAACTGGATCTGCTGCATCCAAATATCGATCCTTTCACCTTCACTGTCTTGTTTTTATATCAGCATGATCGGCTTGTTGTTTAAATGTGTTGTTAAATTTAAGATGTACAATACATCACTCTCAGCTGCTGCAACACGCTGACTCACTGATTATCTTTTCTTGCAGAGTGGTTCAGAAGCACCTGGACTCTTCAGGACGACCCCTGTAAGAGATACTATGAACTCATCATTGTCAACCCCATTCTGCTGGTACCCCCAACCAAGGTGGGTGTAGTTGCTATTAATTCTTTTTTTCAAGACATCAATACATAGAAGATCCAGTGTTCTGCAACAAGGCTGTTATTTTCCAGCTTTGAGGCCTCTTGTTAACTACTTCTTGTAAATTTTGTCCCATTCAACACTCCTGTGCTCCTAACTTAATTATTTTAAATCTATATTAGTTTTCAATGTTTATATTTGTGTGCAAATGAAAAATCACTTATGATTTCAACATCTCTCTCTGTGTAGGCGATCTCCGTCACCATCACAACTTTCATCACAGAGCCACTGAAGCACATTGGCCAGGGGATCAGTGAGTTTCTTCGAGCCCTCCTCAAAGATCTACCAGTTACCCTGCAGATCCCTGTTCTCCTCACAATCGTCATCGTCATTGTGGTAAAGACCATAAATTCTCACTGACACATGAGTAACACAGTAAATTAAATCTGATTTCTCTATATATTGGTGTATTCGTTTGATTTCTCTGCAGGTATTTGTGTATGTCAGTGTGAATGCAGCCTTCCTGCATGGCATCACTGCACCTCTACGTCGACAGGGTCCACCTCCTCCTGGGCTCCAACAACCGCAACAGCAGCCTCAGGCTCAAATCCAGGGGATCGCGGACCTTGGCCACTTAACAGGCAATGATGCAGAACAGCAAGGTCCAAGGCAGCAACGTCCAAGGCAGCAAGCCGACGATGGCAGGGCACACAGGAATCCGGTTCGTCAGCGGCATCCAAACAGACCCAGGGAGGAGAAGGCCCGGGTGGTTGTGGAGACACTGCAAGCAGCTGCCCGCAGTGAGGATGAGACGGACACTGAGCAACAGGAGGGAAGACCTGAGGCAGAGCAGAATGTGACTGAGGAGTCAGATGCAGAAATCCAAGTGGAGAAAATAGAGGAGCCAGAAGAAGTGGATGCCAAAAGTGTTGCTGCTCACACAGCCCAAGCAAAAACTAAAACCACGCCCAAGGCCAAACCTATGAGAGTGAGAGAGAATCAGGAGAAACCCAGCAGAGACGACGCAGCACCCAGATCTCAGCCGGCCAAACAGAAACCGTTCCAAACTGATGTCAAGGTAAGTTATTTAAAAAAAGAAAAAACGACCTCTAAATAATATCAGACCTGAGACATGTGATAGTGCTTCTTAACTGTGATTAAACGTCCTATTTGTTGTTTTTTAATGCTTCAGCATCACACATTCACTAATTGGATGGTGAATATTTACTTGCTTCACACATTGGTAAATGAGTATTTATTTACTAGATCATGATTTTGTCCAGTGGTTTAACTTTTATGTTTTGATAATAGCTGTAGCTTGTGTTGTTCTGTTAGTAAACTGTGAACACTGTATAAACGATGTGTTCTGTAACCAGAGATGTTTTTCCTTTTTTCCTCTCATCAGTAAAGTTGTAACAAAGTAACAGAGAATTTGAATTCCAGTGCATGTGAGTAAATTTAGTTATCATTTAGTTTTTAGAATTCTATCACCATTTATGGATTTGTGGTTGGAGCGAATAATCTATAATACATAATACCATACTATAATAATGTAGTATGCAAGTAAATGTCAGACAGTGTCAGACATTTAGGAAATGAAACCAGTAAGATGCTTCATTGCTTAAAATCAATCATTTTATTTACTCAATAAAATGTATATGACTGAATGTATCTCACACATACTTCCTGATTGTTTAACCATTTTAATGTGATATATATTTCTCCACTGCAGGACCTGAAGGCCTCAGCGGGATACAGGACCCCCTCTGTCTCTGTGACACACGTTGAAACTCTCGGACTTCCAGTTCAGGAGACGAGCACAGCGCCTGGGGAGTAGACGTACACATTAGCGGATGCAGCAAGATTTCATATCATCTGTGACAGACAGTGTTGAAATGTGCAGCAGCAACATTTTTAAGACCGACCAATGTGGAACCACACCGATAATTACCAACTAACTTTGTCTTGCTGATGCACAGTCAACCAAATGTGCCTTTCCTTGAGATGGGGCACCAACACTGCTTTGGTGAATCTTCTCATTATTTCATGATGATTTTGACAAAGTGTTCCTCAGTCAGAGAGAGGAGTCATATTGGTTTGTGTCTCATCTGTCACACAGTAAGATTTTTCTCGATTTAATTTAAGATAACAAAAGGTCTCATAAAACCTGGCAGTACAATCAACGAATAATGAGTTTATTTTGAGCTATTTTTGTTGTAATTCATTGTCTTAATGAATTAAGTTTTGCTGAGCAGCAGTGATACCTCTTCTGTGAGAAACTGCCTGTGCAAAGCTTAGACTGTATATACAGATGAATGACATGACACATCCACACCCTGTACAAAAATGGAGCTGAAGTATCGTGGATACAGCCGCGGACACCTTACGCTTTTGGTGTGATTTGGAGTGAGAGTCCCAGTGATAAACACTCAGCCAAACCCTGAGTCAGTCTCAGCTGTCAATCATGGTTTTTCATCCTCTTTGTATAAATAACTAATTACAACGAAAAAGAACATTTAACACATCAGTCTGATAAGAACTACCTAAAATAACAGAGATCATCTGACTCATCATTTGACTTGTAGTTTTAGTGTGTTCCATGTCTCATCCATTAACATGGACGAGGCAGGGTGTATGAACTATTCTGCAGCCAGACACTAGGGCGCGATCTGGATGATTTGGCTTTACTTTTGCCGAGCTGTCATGTCGTCCATCTTTATACACAGTCAAAGTGGGAGAGGATGATAATGCCATTGGGTGCAATGGAAACAATTGTAATTATTGAAATCACTGACTTCAACATGACACATATTAATATAAAAGAATCATCCTTCTCAGAAATGGAAAAAATAAATAAGCTGCCATGTTTAAAGCTGTAATAATCAGGTGCTGCAGGTTTACACTTACAGGTTTACTCTCATGACTCATCATCTCTTCAACTTTTCCTCCCTGCCCAGCCTCAAACTGTAGTTTCATTAGTGACCAGCAGGTGAACATAATGGAGCATCATTTGTGCAGGTTATATGTAAATGATCACGTCCACTTTATATGTATACCTGGCAAAATGTGTTTGTCTGTATCTAACTATAAATGGATGAATCTCCTCGACGGCCACTCATCAGTTGACTTAAGTCTCAGCGGATGTGTTGCTGAGGACGAGAGTTTTCCAGGGTTGTGTTACGCTCAGTGTCACTGCTAATCTCTTTTTAATTTTCCAATTTGCTTTCCACCCTTTATTCAAGTTATTAAAAGTGTATTAGTTACAAAACACAACATGTTTGATATCAAGAATTTTATGATCACATCCATTAGAAATATGTTTTAGTACGGACACTGTTTAAAACGTCCTCGGACCGCACATCTTTAACTTCATGTGTCTGTGTGTTATTATAGGGGGCTCAGTGAGGCAGTGGATAGTACTGTCCCTTCATTAACAGAGGGTTTTGGGTTTGAACCTCTCAGTGGATTCTGCATGTTCTTTTTGTTGCATGTTGTAAATTTGTTAAATAGTGTATCATGCATAGTATGACGAATGGGAAACCTACAACATGGTGAATACGTGGAAGACACAGCACAGAGGAGAAGTGAGCTTTTTTTTTTGTTTTTGTTTTCCTGTGTTGGAAATGATTGAGTAATATCTGACTGTGCCATTACAATACAGAACATATCAGTGGTGCGTCTCTTAGTGATCAGGTTAGTTTACAGCAACATGTGTTCTTTCAGTCTTTATGTCCTCTCTCACAAGAAGCACAAAAATAATTAAAGACTGTATAGCAGCTGCAAGTGGCAGTTCATTTAAATCAGAACATATGAATACCGAATGATTCATTTGGAATATACAGTATGACGTAAAGTAAAACTTTAGGAACATCTGGCCAACAGTGATTTGCTGCACGGCCAACACTTGGTTCGTTAAGGTCATTAAGACACAGAGACAGTCGGACTCTTTTGTTGTGTCACTGTTTAGAAGAGAAGAAGCTGTACACGAAAGAGTTTACATTTTAATGTAGATTTTGACATATTTGTCCCTGATTTAAAACTGGTGAGGATCTGTGCACTGTGTTGCATTAAAGCTATTTTGCAATATAAAATAATTATGAGGAACAAATGTCTGAAGTGTGGATGTTTTTGGCATCACTGCCATAAATCATGCCCATACACATAAACACACATAATGCTAATGATTATACATAGTAATAATTATAGTATTGATAATAATATTAACATAAATACTACTACTACTACAACCAATAATAATAATGATAATGATTATACTGATGCTATTATTAATAATAGTATCACTAATGATATTAACAAATAATACTAGAGTCTCATGTAATTTGAATCATTGAAAACAGTGAAGTAAATGCTAGTGGCCGCTGGAGGGCCTCGCACCGCATGTTGTGAACCTGTGCTCCTCCTGGGACTCGGGTCCTGATTGGCTGCTCGTAAGTTGCGTGGTGACGCAGGGGCTCTGGTCTGAACGGGGTCTGACTCCGGATCAACTGTCAACCTGATAAAAAGCGCACGCGATCAGTTGCAGCGTCCACGTGGATCAATCAATCAATCATGGAACTACTGGGTCGGTATCTGGAGAGGAGCAACTCAGTCAGGTGAGGGTCGGTTTGAATCTTTCAGAGAACACACGCACCAAGGCTTGTGAGATATAGCAAAGTAAATAAAACATGTAATTATGTAACTGAGATATCATTTTCTCACACTAACAACACAACTAGGAGTATTTAATTACTTTATAAGTTTCTGGTAAAGAACACAACTCACTCTGAAGTGTGTGTGTGTGTGTGTGTGTGTGTGTGTGTGTGTGTGTGTGTGTGTGTGTGTGTGTGTGTCACACCGTTGGGAAAATATTGAGAGTGCACTCATGGAGCTAACCTTGGACTTAAAGCCGGGCTGCCTGATGAATGCAGCCTGTGTATACTCAGTACATGAAGTCCTTCCTGTGAGAGATGATGACAGCTGCACTAAAAAACTGTTGTTCAACTAAAATCATCCTGAAATAACTGCTCACACTTTCACTTCTGGTTTTTCAACTTCAGCTCTAACTCCTGACATCTTCAGTGTGAAATCTGAATAAAAAAAATCTCAGGTGACCACAGGACAAGGCCAGGAACAGTTTGTAGTGTTTCCTTAACTACAGCTCGTGCATGCTGATTTATTTTGTTTCAGTTCTGTCATGACTCAAGATGTTGTGAAAGAGGAGATCCTGAGAGATGACCTGAGGTACTACTTCATGAGCCCGTGTGAGAAGTACAGGACCCGACGACACATCCCCTGGAAACTGGGAGTTCAGATCCTGAAGATTGTCATGATCACAACACAAGTATGTGCAGCTGAGTTTGTGCCGATTTGGCAAAGAGCTGGAGATCAGAGCCTCCCCGGAAATGTTTCCTCATACATTCATCGGTCCAAACCAAGCAGCCAAGTGCAGCATGAATCAGTGTGGAACTTTACAACCAGCAGGGCTCCATGTCATCTAAATGTTTTAGTTTTTTTTTCTAAGAAAGATGATGAAATAAATGGACTCCTTCCATGTATCTGATTCATGCATTTGCTATTGGCTGCTTGTTATTTTGAGAAACTAGAAATGTATTGTTGTTTCTTATGTTGAACTCGAGACTCATTTCATTAGTTGAGAAGTAAAGTAGCTGCAATTAAAACAGCTAGAAACTCCATTGTCCCTTTGTAAACACACTTACAAGGTGATTTACAAGTTAAAGCTGAAGAATTGAGGGCAAACAATTAAATGCTTTTTTATATTAATCATTAGAAAATAAGAAAACCAAGAAAAAAGATGTTACAGATGAGAAATAGGTTAAAACAAAAGTACATTTAACTGTCATAAAATTATTTTAACAGTCTGTAAGATCAGAGCTGGAGTAAAAGTATGAGATTAAATGAATAAAATAAAAAGTTGAAGGTGTTTTCAGACCCCAAGTCCAGAGAAAGCACACATATAAAATTGTGTCTTTGAGAGAAATGTGTGTGAGTTTGGACTTAATTATTCTAAAGTAAACACCAACCTTTAAATCAACAGCAGACTGTGAAACGTTTTACGAGTTTGGCTGTTTTCCAAAAACAGGAATAAATGTACTGAATTAATTCTTGATTGTTCCTGTGATTGTGGTGTGGTCCTCCAGCTCATCCTGTTCGGCCTCAACAACCAGCTGGTGGTGTCCTTTAAGGAGGAGAACACCATGGCCCTGAAAAACCTCTTCCTGAAGGATTACACTGGTGTGGATGAGGACGACTACAGTGTTGCTGTCTACACCCAAGATGGAGTCAATGAGAGCCTGTTTTATGTCCTGGATCAGGTAAGTCCCCCCTCCTCAACTTACACGCTTACAATTCTTGTTTTTCCTGTTTATATCAGAAAAGTTAAAAGAGGTGGCTGTGATGTAGAGTCTGTGTCCTGAAGGAAGTTGTTTCAAATGTTTGCTATTGTTAGGACATAAAAAATACAACCCTTGGTCAAAAGGTAAATTAAGATACACATTTTTAAATAGCTTAATAAAGCCTTTTATTTTGTTGTTGTCATAAGTGTCTTATCTGATGTTTGTTTGTTAAGTAGTTTACAAGATTATGCAAAAACACCAGGGGTGGGGGGGGGGGGGGCATAAAAATAATGGTTATGATCAGATTTTTAAAGTATCCTGTTATTGTGTGTATAAAATCTATATATATATGTATGCACATGTATATAAAAATCATATTATGGCCGCAGACACAGAGATAAACCCTTATTCAGAAATGAGGGCGCATCTGCACACAAATAATCACAAACCTGAATACTGTTATGATCAGTAATATTTATGTGACTGACCAGCTTTCTAAATGTCCATGTTAAAAACCCAGCTGTGAAGCTAATGCTCCTATAAACTTACTTTCAAACTATTGGAAAACCTGTAAAACAAAGTGGAACTCGAGGTTAAGTAAGTAGTTTTGTGTTTGAACGATCGTCGCTTCTCCAGCTTTGTGTTATCTACCTTCTGACAGTGTGTTTTACCTGAGTCATGTGATATTTACAGTACAGCCAGTTGGGCCGTCTCTCTACGGGTCCCATCACCTACGGCGAGGATGATGACGGCAAACTGCTCCCGCTGGTCTTGTGTAAAGAGCGCTACAAGAGAGGCAGCGTGGAGCCGTCGGACGAGGCCTACGACATAGACGCGCAGCTGGAGACAGGTGTGAGGGGACAATCACATTTCATCTGAAAATCAGCAGGAACATTTGTGCTGTGATCATAAACTCTGTGTCATGTTTTGTGTATTGGTTTATACTGTATCACACCGTATGACCCAATTAGAGAATCACTATATTATCTTACTTAAACTGTAAAATCAAGTCTATGTTCGTCTGTTTCTCAGTTTGCGTGTCCCATGATCCAAAGACTGGAAACCTGCAGAGAACCTACAACTCGTCCTTTTTTAATCTGGACTTTTACAGGTACACAGCTCCATCAGTTCTCTGTGACTGCTGCTAACATTAGAAGGACTTTTTATTTAAGTCCATTTCATCCTCTTCTGTTTCAGGCTGGTCGACATCAAAATAACCTTCCAGCTGAAGGGCATCAATCTGCAGACAGTGCGCTCACGGGAGTTACCTGACTGCTACTCCTTCTATGTCACGGTACAGAAACACTATCACACTTCCCATCATGGAGTGACACGATCTGGAGAGTGTCCAGAAACTTAAAAGCTCTTAAACATTGATCGTATTCATTTTTAAATGCAACTGCCTTGTTTAACTAATCTACTTTCCTTTTCCTCTCGTCCTCAGATAACATTTGATAACCAGTGTCACAGCGGGAAGGTGAAAATATTCCTGGACATAGACAGTCAGAGCAGCACTTGCAGGGACTGGAAGATATCAGGAACAGGTAAATTAGAGTAGTCAAACAAAAGGTGGAAATACAACAACAATCAGTAGAGCGCATACCTCTGCCAAGGCTGAAAATCCTGCACATGATTGTCTGGTTCTTATAGTAAAAATATATAAAAGCTCCTTTCACTTGAAATTCATCTCAGTTGTAGACACTATATAAAATGCAATATAAAAATGATATAATGTTATCAATATAATAAGATGGACACTGTATGAGTTCCATACAGGAAATCATGAATTATATTTTTCACATTTAATTCTGAAATCTGTCATACTGTGACGTGTGGCTGGTCAAACTTCAATAAAAGTACATAATATAGTATATAATGTGTAATTAATTTCTATACATTGCATGTGCACCAAATCTCACATCTTCTGGAAATAATGAAACCAAATAATAAGCCCATCAAAAGTCTTTTTCAAACCTTCAGTGTCAAGGCCTGATGCTGTTTGACTGTTATTTTCCCTCGGAGTGGCTCTTATCAGAGACGAGTGTGAGGGAGCTATGTAAG